GGTTCAGCAAATTTTACCGCAAGATTTGAGAATGAGAAGGGTTGCTGTGAAATTTGTGCCTCGGTTCTGACTGATCAAGAAAAAGAATGTCGACTGGAAACATGCAGTGATGAGATAAGCAAACATCAATCAAGCAAGAGGCAGATGCCATTGCTACCGCACCCCCCAAAAGCTATTCAAGTGAAATTAAACTTCAAGACAATGCCCATTTGTTTTTCTGGATGTGAGGGGTACAGTGCATCTGGAGTTCATTTCACCAGGTCAGACTGATAATCAAGCTTTTCATTTAGAGGTTCTGAAAAAGATTACCAACAGTGTGTGACAAAAATCGCCTGATTTGTGATAAACAGGGGAATTGTTTTGCCACCAAGGCAATGTACCTGTTCACGCAGCCATCTTGGTGTGTGAGTTTTGGGGGGGGGAAACAGCATGCTTCTCTTGCCCCAATCACTTTACTCACCTGACCTCATACAGTTCAACTTTTTTGTTTCCGCAAATCAAGAGGGACATAAAAGGACAGCAATTTGATGATGCACAAGAGGTGAAGGAAAAAAAACCGAGGGAGGTGCTGTCAGCCATCCAAACAGATGAAATTCGAAAATGTTTCCAAGAATGGAATCATAGATTTGACAAATGTAATAAGTGTAATGGAGAGTACTCTGAAGGTGATAAGGTTGTTTTGTTAAAAATATAAATGCATATCTTGGATATCGTATATCCCCAAGAACTACTAGCTATAACATGAACAGACACGAGCATATCCATGTTAACTGCAACACTGTTCACAGCAGCAAATGAAAACAACCTAAATTCTTATCAGTAGAACTGAAAAAGAAACGTTGGTACAAACACCGGGAATATTATGCAATGCTTAAAAAAAGAAAAAAGGATGAAACCACAAAACCATTCATGCATTGGATGGACCTGGAGAAAGAATATTATGTGGAGTGAAATAATCAATCTTAACTGGGCAGACAGCAGGAGACCACTTTCAAAGGGAAAAAAAAACAACAAGTTAAAGATGTCCATGCCAAATGGAACAGACATTGGAGTTTGCCATAGTGGGGATGAGACAAGGGAGGGAAAATATAGCAAAGGGCGAGACAGTTGATGGGTGTCAACGTGAGTGAAATGGAAGATAGTAATCCATACCCTTCTTCATATTCTCCAGTTTCTGGATCATTTAACACACAGTAGTGTGAAAAGGTACAACCCAGACACACTTTTCCAGATTTAAAATAGGCAGTACTGTATACTTGTTCTGTTCAAAAGAGCACCTCGTTGTCTACGAAGATGGTCTAAATAAGAACAAGTGCTCTAAAAGTCCCATTCTTCCCAATTTTATACATAGTGTGTTAAAGTCCACCTAGGTGAATGCCTTTGCATAGTTAATAAAACACAAGTAAAAGTGTTCTGGTCTTCTCGACATCCAGTCAAGACACACCTGTCACCAAGAATGACAATCCCTGTCCCACGTCCTCTTTGGAAGCCAACTTAAATTTCTAGCAGTTACACATCGAACTAAAGCTACTACTATTTTTTAGCTTGTTATTAAATAATTTCTACATTCTATTAGATGTCCTTTCTATAGAATTAGCACAAATATAAATCTCTTCCAGTTTACTGGCCAGGAAACTATATCCCAAATTTCTTGGCACAGATGAGGGAACCCTTCCAAGTACTGCATTCATTTGTTGAAATACCTCAATTGGAATTCTGTCAAGTTTGGAGCCTTGCTTTTCAGGAATGGCTACGATGCTACACATCCTGAAATGCTTGAAATTCAACCCACTCTTTGGAACACAGTAACTCCATATTTTTTACATTTTCTTTTGATGCCTCTTGCATTGTTCAATATTTTAGCCCTATAATCTTTCACTATTATAACTTGAGGTTTGAATTTTTTCATCCGTTCTTTGAACTTATGATAAGCTGAACATGTTCTTGTCTTGGGGTTTTCGAACTGCATGCAGATCCATGCATCTTTCATTTTAATACTTTACTGTTATGTCACTAAGTATGCTTTAATTGGGGTATAAATTTGAAAATAGGCAGACTAACTGGTCTTCTCTGTAAGCATAAGCTAATTATTCTATCATTGGAAATCCTGTACTTAAGATGCATTCTTGACATATTTTTGTCCTTGAATGTGATTCCATTTCTCTTCAATTTGTCATTCTCATCATAGCAGACCAAATGACTGTGATTCAAAATGGCTAATATGTGTCCCTTTCAACCTACTAATGCTGAGGTTGCTCTATTTCCATTTCTGACTTCTTTCATTTTTCAAGATTCAGACATTGTACATTCAAATTTCTGATTATTAATGGATCATTTATTGTCTTCTTGTGTTGTGCCACATCAGCAAAAAAAATCTATAAAAATTTCACTGCCATCACGTCAATGCTTACTCATTGTGACCCTAGGACAGGGTAGAACTACCCATGTGAGTTTCTGAGACTTCCTATTTACTGTAAGTCTCAGAAACAACCTTATCCTCTTCAAAGTACTCTCCATTACACTTAATACATTTGTCAAATCTATGATTCCATTCTTGGAAACATTTTTGAATCTCATCTGTTTGGATGGCTGAAAGTAGATCACCAATGAGCAGCTTATGAAAACTTTTCAGAATATCACCTGTTATAGTGCCAGAAATCCCAATGAAACCTTTCTGCAATGGGTGAGCTTGCTGCATTTTAAATACCAGAGTTACCACTTCTAGGAATACCCAAGCCTCCACAGCAACACTCAAGTCACCAAAGGAGGGCACACTTGACAGATGAGTGAAACATATTTTTATATTATAGAAAGAGATCAAAGGCTTTCAAAATAAAGTATAACTGAAAATTTTGTTACCTGTTATATCATGTGTCAAAGGTTCATCTATAGTTTCTAACAACTGAACTGAAGACGGCTGAAGGGAATCATCAGAGTCCCCAGCTGTTGCACCTACATCATCAACCACAGGTCCTTCCTCCATGGCTTCTGCAGCTACGGGAGCCAGTAATTCTCCTTTATACAAGAAAATAGTCTTAACAGCTCGAATGATGCACACACCGACTTCTAAAACATATTTAGCTTCATTTCTTCCTTTTATTTAGAGAATGATAGCCTAAGTACGCCACCGGTTCTAACAAAGATTTTCCTCATCAACTAACAAAATGAAAGGACCCACTGCATTACTTTCAAATGCCAAAGACTAGTAAATAGGGAAAAAACACAAAGTGCTTAGAAAGTCATTGTATAAGCATTCTATATACATTAATTCACTAATTTGTCACTGTACCCTTTTACAAATATAAACATAATCTTATTTTTCAAGTCAAGAAATTGAGGAACAGAGAGATTTACTTGCTCATTGTTTATATAAAGGGCTATTGAGTGACACATTTTTATTATTGGTAACAAAGCAAAATGCTCTATAAAATTACAAAAATAATCCTACATGACAGTTATTTTATAGAAAGCAAAGTGTTCTTTTGTGCCTTGGAGGAGGAAGGGATTCTGATTTCCTGTAAAGATTATCTAATTGGACAATGACATGCTTATTTTGACATACTTCATTTAAAATAGATCCTGACAAACCTGCTAAAATATCCTGTAGCATACATGTTAAGGAATACTGGGCCCAAGCACCACCCCAAGATATATCTCCTCTATTAAAGTCAGTTCCAACCAAAAGCAGTAAGAGTCTTTCCAGCTGGGGCTCATTCACAATTTCACACAGATGAATAGTTGGTCTCGTGGCATTTGCAATGCGTGCAAGAACCTGTAATACATTTCATAAAAACATACATATACGTTTAAAGGATACCTACCAAAACATAATTGCTGAGGTAATAATTTCAAATAATGAGATAAGCTTTATCAAGATAACTACTGAAAATGGAAAGCAAAAAACTTTGATCCCATGAATCAAATTTTAAATTTAAGATCAGAATTTAAAATTTAGAAAGAAAAATTAAAGAATATTTTCAGTGCCCGTGAATGTTAGAAGGAAAGCCTTAAGGGCATTAAAAGCCCTTTATTACTATAATTAAACACTAATTTCTATACTTCTGTATCTCCAATTTTAGTTAATATGGCTTTAAGTAATACTAAAAAGTTAAGTTGAAGAAAATCATATTCATATTATGTGATTTAAAATCTGTATCAATCTACATTAAACCACAAACCCAGTGTCTGGATATAGATATCATCTATATCTATCTATCTCTATAGATATATATAGTAACCACAATTTTTAAATTTAAAAACTCTTTCAAAGGCACATTTTAAGCAACTAACCTCATAGAAGGAAAGCTCAGAGGCATTTTTTTTTAAAACCAAAACTCAATTAAAAACTTCTTCTGTTAATCTTTTTGTTACCCTAAATAAAAAATACCTATTACTTTATTTTAGGAGTCTTGGTATCACATTGGTTAATCCTCAGCTGTTAAATGAAAGGTCAGTGATTCAAACTAGTGGCCTCATAGAAGACACTTGGTCATCTGGTCCCAGAAAGATTGTAGAGCGTTAATAATCTGTATGGGGCGGTTTTACTAGTGTAGGTGGTTATCAGTCTCAGTCAACAAAAAAGGTACACACAAAATTACTTACCTTACAAACAAATAATAACAGATCTGCATGACATGTAAAATCCATGGAGAGGAGAAATAAAACAAGCTTCTGCACTACTGATATACAGCGTTCATGGGCCAGAGTAAATGGAAGTGGTTCAATCTCCGGACTTTCTTTGGTTGTAGTGACTTCTGTGTCTAAATTAGAACGGGACCATTCTGCTGTCCGTCGTAGCCTAATTAAATCCTTAAAGTGCTGCATGTAGAATTTTACAATTTTAAATCAGTATTTATTTAACAAAAGTTGTTCAGTACAAATTTATTTATGGAATGAAACTATTCAGGTAGGAAATTTTATGCGTTATAATGAATAAAACTTTCAGGTTAACTGTAAGCCTCACAAAGAAAAAAATTATTAAAAGCTATCTTGAACAATACATCTTTTTTGGAGCATTATACATGATTTATAATAGAATTTCAGAAAAGCAAATTCCTATAGAAAAGGCATTAAACTGAATCCGGTATCCTAAGTCTCAAAAAACACTGACATCAAGTCAATGTTAACGACCCTATGGGGCAGGATAGAACTGTCCCTGTTGGTTCTGAAACGGTAACTCTTCACAGGAGAAAAAGTCTCATCTTTCTCCCAGTATCCAAACTATTACTAAAACATTTTAAACATAATTTAATAAATCAATTAAAGAAAACAAATAAAACTTTTAAGTTTATGGTATATGTTCTGATTATTTCAATGTGATAAGATACAGTAATCAAAATAACCTATTACTGATGTAACACTAGACACATAAACCAATGGAAGAGTGTCCAGAAACAAACCCACACATATACGTGGTCAACAGATTTTTGTCAAGGATGCAGAATTTGATGCACAAAGAAAAGACCCTGCAATGAATGATGCTGGGAAAACTGGATAGCCAGATGCAAAAACTGAAACAGGATCCGTGATTCCCTTACACTACACACACAAATTCAAAATA